TTGTCATTGTTAGTGGAGGAGTTCACAAACTAGAAATTTTTATGGTACAATCGTGCAACATGAAACATATAATATGGAATAGGTAAATAAAATTATAAAAATCTCTAAAAACACTGTGGGTATAAGGCATGCAAAAAAGACTAATATATACACTTAGGATAAAAATATGGATAAAAAATATAAAAAGTAAAATATTCAAGGTGAGCTTCAATGACTGGCTGAAACTGTAGTTCACCACACATGAAAGTGCGCATGTGCAGAAAAAGATAGGATGGCCATATGTAACCATATCACCAGAATGATTGACAATTAGGATGACCACTTATTTTGATGATCCTGCACTACACCTTTCACCTCTTTTAGTGGGAGTGGTGGCATACGGTGCTTAGAGGCATTTGCGTCCTGAAGACACTTTAAAATTCAATTCATTCATTAAATTCATTCAGGTTTGAAACGTTCGAAATACCCTTAACCTCAGATTTCTCCCTGATCTCTACTCAGTGTGTCAGATCACTGCTGCCAAAGTGATGAGCTAATCACTGAAGAAAATATTTCCCCACTGTGGGAACTTTTTAAGCCCTTTACTGATTCCACATAGACTGTGGCAAACAGGAGTTAATGCTTTCCCTCAGCAATGGCTTTCAGGCACTATTCCATTAAAATGTGTCGTTCTTGTTGAGAGATCAGCTAAGAGCCTCTTTGAAGCTTCTGATTAATGTTCTTCATACCTGGAAAGTCAGTTTAGTTGGACGCCTGTTCCCTTGCCAGTTTCCAGTTCTACCACTCTCTCTCCAACTTCAGATGAGGAACTACACAACGATCTGACATGTCTGCTGGGGTCCTACACTGAGGTCTATTCATTGTGTGATTATTTTTCTAATGTTCTCTAACAAACTGCCTTCAAAACCAGGCTGTGTTTATCCCATATTGGCATGTGGGTTAAAGTTCCTTACCCACAAGCAGAAACTCACGGAAAGCATGGAAGAATTACAACCTTTCCATTCTGCATCGGAATCCTACTGGCGGTTCTTGGGTGCAGGAAACTGAGGAGGAGATTTGGATGTGAATAATAACAAGAGGCAATGTGAGCAGGTATCAGAAGGTTAAAAAGATCTTATCGGTTACAGCAGGGAAGGCAGGAAAAGTTAGTGGGATCATAGAGTGAGTTTTGAAGGAAACTTTTACAACATTGGGTATATTGGTGGGTGGACAGGTAGAACTGACAGCCATATGGAGGACATATGGAGCAAAGAGAAAGCCAGTGAGGTGGTTTTAAGGCCAGAACACACTGGTTGGGTACGAGTTTTTAATCTGGGATCCAATTTTTCCATGTCCCACTGCAGGGTGTTAAGACCTGCACAGACTTTACACTTCTGTCTGTGTTATGCACAAATTAAAACAATTTCCCACATTGACTTGGACAGATTATGTTTTTTAAAACACCGGCACATACTATAAATCAAAGCCCCACTCAATAAGATTTTGCAGCATCTCAAACCAGAACAGACAGAGAATGTTCATTTGCCCATATTAAAAACATAATGAGATCTACGTATTAAGAGAAGAAAAACGGTCTGTTTTTTGTGAGGCTCAAAGTGGATCAATATTTTACAATATTTTCTGTCTTCCTGAAGTTATTATTATTTTTTTTCTCGAGGAGATTGATAAACTGCATTTTCGTTCCCTCCTGTTTTTGCCGGAGTTTGTCTCGCTTGCCGTGTATGCTCTGTGCGACTACAGACTCTTTCCCCATTTGATTAACAGATTATGTTTTGTATGTTTCCCCAAAGCGGATGTGTTTTACTTTGTAAACGTGTTCCTCTTCCTGTCCAACCTATGAAATTGCTGCTGAATTACAGCGCAGGCCAGCTAAAACAGACCTGGGGTCTATCTTAGCTGGATTTACACAAGCCCCCTTGTAGAAAATCATGTCAGGTGTGATCATCCCCTTTTACTTTTAATGAGAGCTAAATGCCACGACCTCGTCCAGAGAAATTTTCTGTCGGATCAGATCAGATGCAATATTGGATCCGGTGTGTTCTGGCCTGTAGAGTCGAGTTTCCCCCCAGGGCGCTAAACGCCAGGACCTTGTCTGACCCGATTTTTTGTCGGATCGGATGCCAAACGTGATTCGGTGTCATGAAGCGAGTACAGATGGACCCAGTATTCAAGGAGAGACAGTCAGTAGGAAAGTTCAAACGTTTATTAAATAAAACAAAACAAAAGCGGAGCTGTGGCTCGCGGACACTGCAGGCGGGGGGGCGGGGCACCGCCTAATCTCAGACACTCTGTAGTGGGAGAAACACAGGTAAGTGACCACGATCATCTGACAGAAGATTATCTGAGTTGGTCACTTACCTGGTTTAACAGTCCAGACCAAGAATGTCCCCAAGTGCTGCAGTCCCAGAGGTCATGCTGGAAGCCGATCCTAGTCAGGGATCCAGAACAGACAGGAACAGACAGGAACAGGCAGGATCCAGATCAGGCAGGAACAGAAACAGGTGGCAGGATCCAGACCTCCAGGCATCCATAGGCCCCCAGGAGGGCTCAGAGTCCGACTGAGACAAGAAGCATGACCAGGTGGTCACGCACAGGAGCAGACAGGATCAGGTGCAGACAGGCAGGCTCAGTGGAAGAGGGTAGCCGAGACAGGACGTGGAACCGGAACTTGAAGCAGGACTTTAAACTGGTCTCCTCCTTGGATCCAGGCTTACTGGATAAAAACTGAACCTCCCCACATATTGAGCCAAAAACCCAGAGGACCCCGCGGGGGAGGAACAATGGACGATCAGGAGACGAGACAAACACAAAAACCCTCTTTCCACTGGCTGCTAGGATCCAGGACATGAACCATGAACTAAAACTGAACAGACAGACTAACAAAAAGACAAGTAATGATCTGGCACTGAATGATCAGGCTGAACTGAATATAAACCAGAGGAAACAGGTAAGAGGAATAAATTGTAATTGAGGCAGGGAGGGAAAACGGCAGGTGAGAGGAATTACTAATTAGGGAGGAGCAAACAGGCCAGATCATTACATTCGGTGAGTTCTGGCTTTTATCCAAAGGACTTTAGAAGGGTTTGGGGTCTTGTTGGAGAGATATCTTATTGAACATTGTTGAGAAACTCAAGCATTTAGTAGGCAGCGTTGGAAAAAAAAAAAAAAACACCCCAAAAACTCAGGTAATGTTTCATTGAAGTCAGACATGGGAAACCCCAGATCTCAAGAGCTGGTATCCTTCAACTTCAAGATGTTTCCTTGGTCCAACATACCTGAATCAAACGATTGAATTACCTCCTCAGTATGCTGTCGATATCGCCAGTCTCTTAGTCGTCTACGGTAACTGCTTGGTTCAGGTGTGGTGGACCATGGGTCAATTGCCCAGCAATGAGAAACTGGATGCCAGCTCGTCATATACTCCAGGTGATGACAAGATAAATGGCAGATGTGAAGAAAGCATACCAGCAGATGTCTTCAACATCAAACAAAAACTAAGCAAGAAAACACAGATTAAAACCTCCGAACACTGGAACTAAGATCCCTTTACACAAAGAAAAAAATTAAACATGCATTTTGATGAAATAGATTAGATTATTGCCCTCAGCCACCCCACCTCCTCGCTGTTATCCTGTTCTCTGTTCATTGCTTTGAGCAGCTCAGCCCAGGTCAAAATCCACCTTTAGAACATCTACTTCTTGCAGCTTTACGCTTCTACTGTATTTGTTTCATCTCATGGAAACTTATTATTTGATTTCCACCAATGTTCAGTTCAACACGGCAGGCTGCCACTTAATTCTTACTGTCAGCATAGATCACAGCATTGACATCAAACTCCATGGGGACTCCTGGCAGACCTTATATGCCAACCTGTCCATCAGCAGCCCAGAGGGTGATCAACATGAATACTAATGAAAGCACAAAAGAAATAGTCACACAACTTAATGACTAGTTGCACCCCACCTCCCCCCACATCAACATTATCCTATTTCTTGCTGCTGTGTTTCAATATCAGATTAGAGATCCTCCATTTCTTTTTATTTTACTTTATGTGCAGATGTTGCATCAAACGGGTATCATGTTATCGCTACTGTGTACTAGAGGTGTCACAGAGATAGATGACGCACATAGAGTATGTATCCAGTAGAGAAAGGTAGTAGGTCTTGCTGGCATTGATACATGAAGGTAAAGCTTCATGTTTTTATGAAAATATCTTCTTATCAAAATCTGGCTGAATAAGGTTTAAAAACTCCTAATAGTATCAGCGCTCTCTCTGTCAGATATGGGATTCCTTTTAGGCAAAAGATAAACAAAACAATAAGAAAATACAGTAATTTTTTATCAGTTTCTTGGACCAGAGTTTACAAGCATTTATGAACATTACCTGGCACATCGCAATATATCTTTAGATGGATTTAAAAACCCAACAGACTGCACACAGAAGAGGAACAGAAGCTATGTAAAGAACTCTGCACCTCATATCTTCTATTTATTGTCCCTTTAATCAAGCGGCAGGCATGTTTTGAAAGGATGAATAGTCTGGTAGAAATATCTCAAAATGAATAAATCTTCTGTTCTCTCATGCAGACAAACAACCCAGACATCCTCCACAATGAACTTCTATTTAAAAATACTTAATCATCCCAGAGGAAAATGAAATGTTAAAAGGCTTCTTACCTTTCATGATGGAAATGCAAAAGGATAAACAGTTTAGAGCAGATGTCTTCAACAAACCTTTGGTTGATATGTCGTTTTTTTATATTCCCCCCTGCAATTTTTTTCACTAATTGAAATATGCACCAGCCAAAAAATAAGTAGGAGAAAATGGATGGATATAGCCCAGGGGGCATTAGCCTTTTTTACAGATACCATCTTAAGGTTATCTTTTTCTGGAGCAAAACTGTGTAGCCAACCAGCTTCTCTTTATGGTCCTCCAATCTCTATATGCTTAAAATGGTGAGTCAGGACATGCAATAAAAAAAAGGCATGAGCCAGAAATGTCTCTTTTATGTATATATGCTCTTTAATCTGAAATCCACATAAAATCTTTTAGTGCAGTGTAATAAAGTTAACAAGTACAACATAACATAATCAGCTTATATTTTATATTTTGGTCAACTTTAGGAAATAACAATACGCACAAATTTGATAACAAAACACAGCAAGAAATTCAAAACAGTTTTTCCTAATCTCTACATTCGTCTTATCGGACAATCTTCAAAATAATTCAACATACATTATGCAGAAAATATTCCTACCCCTGGTATTTTTTACTGCACACTTAATAAGTTTTCTAGGACAAATACAAGTAGAGCAAAACTGAGGAGGAAGGAAAATTATGTAACTTAAAAGTGTGGTAAGCATTTGTACTCACTGTCCTTTCCTCTGATAACACTAAAAACGTCCAGACTGCCTTTAACGTCTCCTACTGGTGACAATTAGAGTTCCCCTCGGTGTAATTCATACTCAGTATAAATCCAGCGGCTGCATGAAGGCCTCAGAGGTTATAAAATCAGAGAATAATGAAGAACAAAAGGGAAATTGAGCTGATGGGTCAGTGAAAACACTGTGTAGTGGTTAAATTATGAAGAACTATTCCATGTCTGAACGTCTCACAAAGGTTTGTTCAATACATCATCTAAATATGGAGAGATCATAGCACAACTGAAAAACGTATAAAGACTTAGATGTGCATCTAATCAGGCAGTCAGGTTGGAGAGTTAAAGCTGGGTGGGAAAATATTGAATCAGAACAATTATTTGCCATGTGCTTAACAAATCTGGCCTTTAAACTATTGTGGCAAGATGATCCTCTTCATATGTATTATTTGAAGTTTGATCAATGAGGGAAAAGAAGTATATAAAAGATTTACTGCACAGGAAAGAACAATTTTGAGTGTATCTACGAAAGAAAACTAATAAAACACCTGAATGTACCAAACCCACTTCACACAGAGGCATCGGACTGAAAAACATTCACAGCTGTAGTTTTAGTCAAAGATGCTTCTACATCGTACAGTATGGACTTAGGTGTTTGATTACAAATGCATGCCACACTTTTATGATTCATTTTTGAAATTCAAAAAATTATTCCTTAACTCAGAACTCCTTGATATTTGTTGTTGGTCCATTACATAAAGTCCCAATAAAAGTTTAATACTGCAAGGTGATACATTAGTAAACACTTCAAGATGAGTGAATCGATCTGCAGCAGACTGGTTATGTCATCTGAAGAACAGGTGCAGAAGATTTACAGACGTCTAATTTAAGAAAACAAGTTAAAACATTAGTTATCATATACATATATATTATATAAATGTCACAATCTTAAATTCTTTAAAATGTATACAGTCAAATAGACAGAAATCTCAGCAGTGCCTTAATCACCCCTTCAGTGTTTAGTAGAATCATCACATTTTAATTTTCATGACCCTTAATATAAAAAAAAATAAAGTTTACAATGTTCTGCAAAACACAGAGTAGAAGAGTCAGCTATGAAACCCACACATGAAAACTTACAAAGACAGAAAAAAAATGCATATACATATAATTGTTTTTTTTGTCAGGTGTGGGGGAGAGTAAGGGTTATGCATTTTTCCCCAACATGCAAAAAGAATAATAATGACAAATGATAAAAAAACCCATATATTTACAAAGCCCACATTGAATACTGCTTCAAACCACCATAGTCAGACATGAAATTGACGGATTTTACAGAGACTTTGCATTTCTAGGTCTTTAAATTCTACTCAGTTCTTGGTCGTTTTCACACCTGAAATTTGTCTGGATGTGTTCATGCACTCGTACCTTTCAGATGGTTTAGAGCTCTACAGTAGTCATGCATAATATAGATGTTCAGCTATACAAAGAGTGAGCACTAGGTGGCAGCCTTTCCCCACTTTGTAAGCAGTTTCATTCTGCAAGTAAAATGTAAAGTAATAACAGGAGCGGACGGTACATGCATAAGGCAAACACTATGCTAGGAGTCAGTCGTATTGCTTTTCATAGAATGTGCATTGATCCTAGATTAGCATTAATTTGATCTAAATATGCATACTTTTTAAACACTAATGTAGGGACATCACTGATATGCAGCCTTTATCTTGGGTCTATGGTTTTCCTTCTTTTCTGGCATCAAACTAAGCAAATTTCTAAGTTTTGTTGTTTGTTTTTTCTACCTTGTTGAGTCCTTGAGCATATCTATGTCTTGTCTCCTCTCTCTTACCCTTGTTCCTCTTTACTTCCCTCTACCATAATTCCCTCCCTCTGGCTCTTGTCTTTCTTTATTTCCTTCTATCCTCCCTTCTTCCTAACCCCCTTCCTTTCCCCCACCTCTCTGCAGGACATCTGGAGAGACTGGCATTTCTCTCGCAGCAGGGGTGGAATATGCACCCAGCATCAGCCCACGCTGGGCAAAGAGAAGGTGGGTGTGGTGTCGCAGACAGAGTCATGCATGTTCGTGAGCGTTGGTGTGAATGTAAGTGTAATATGTGTGTCTACTTCTGATGCAACATTGGACCCTCACCCTGGATCTGCCAGTGCTCGTCTGCAACCTTCACATGAGCAATTTAGTCTGCCCCAGTCTAATTGCTCAGGAGAATAAATCACTCTGAGATGTGAGAGACAACTAGAGTGAAATAGGGTTAAAACTCCTTTGGCCAGAGGCTGTTATAGGGACACGTTATAGCTCATCAAGGGCCTAGAATTGATTTAGCTTCAATTGAATAGCAAATTTTGCTCCTAATTGGACAGAATAAGAAATGTCAAAACAGTTTGTAGATAATTGTGGAACCTTCTGCATTAGGGGTGTCCGATAAAGACCCAATGATAGGAATGTTGAGGTAAATACTAGACATCCAGTTCTGAATGTCAATTCCAGAAGGTTGCAGTCAGGGTTCAGTCTCACTGCTTTTTAGTAATGTAATTGAAAAGTAATAGGAGGAAGAAGAGCAGATGAGTTACAGCAGCAGGTGGGTCAAGGATGAGCGACTGCTGTGCAGATGGGGTGTGCCTGTTTATACTCGCTGTGGATAAGAGAGCAAGAAGGGCAAGCAGATGCTTGATCCTCCCTTCTTTTTGAAGTGTCAAATAAATGTAAGATAAGGTAGCGACAAGAAGTCTAGGAAGGCGAAAAAGGGAGATACAAAGGGATATGTGACGGGGTATGCCGGTCACATGTGACGGTGCAGCTGCGGCAGTGGGGAGGAGGAAAGGGCCGGTCGTGGTTCAATTCCTCGGCTCTTCATAAATGACAGCAGCTGGTCTGGGATCTCAGCGAGGACATCTTTGGCCAGTCGGGCCATGCTGAGAACCTGGTTACCGGATCTGTCGATGTAGTCTCTGAATGGAACAAACTGGAGGCAGAAAGAAAGAAAAAATGTCACACAGAGTCGTACAGATACCACATTTTGTTGTGCTACAACCACAGATTTCAACATGTTTCATCAGAATTTTATGTGATAGATCAACACAAATGAGTGCAGTGTTTTTCAGGGTGGGGGTTTGGCTCTGAGCTGCAGAGAAGAGCTATGGCAGAACCCAGATGAGCCGCAGACATGTGGACTTCGGGCTAAATGATGTTTGATGGCAAAACAATATACATCATCTGATCTAAAGAAAAAATAATAATTCATCCTGATTTCAAAGATTTTATTGTTAATTAGAGTCAGCTGTCTCATTTCTTATCAGAAACATAATTATTGGACGAATGGAAATAATTTATTATTTGAAGAGGATATAATAAAGGATTTTGGTCTTCTACACTGAAAGAAATAATGCCACCGCTTTTGGCTTTTACTTAATCAAATTTAGTTACTTTAACACAATTGTTATATGTCATACCTTGCTAAACAATTATGTTAAAGTAACTAAAAATGATTAAGTAAATGCCAAACGGTTGCATGATGTTTTTCAGTGTAGCAAACCTTATGGGGACTTTTCTTGTCTTTGATGGCTATTCATAACTAGGGATACCCCGATCTGATATTAATCTTGGATATCGGTCAAATATAAGCCAAATAATTATAATATAAGATCTTATCAGCAAGCATCTAAAATTTCTGATATTTTAATGCTGATAGAAACACATGCTATTCTATATGAGTCCATAGTTTTTATACCTTTCCTTGTTGACTTTTCTTCCCTGTTTTAGTAATATAACTTGGAAACACATTCTCTAACATTCTAAAGTATAAAAAAAGTAATAAAAGCTAGTATGATTTATACTAATATCGTATCGTGTCAAAATTAATTTTGGTCAATTCTAAAAGCTGCAAATATCGGGATGGGAAATGAATACGTATTACTGGGACATCCCTACCCATAACAACAGATTCTCCTACTTGGGCTGAGACCAGAAACAGAAGAGCTGCACTTATACTGATGTTAGATTCCACACATTTCTTAATCAGGTCATTTAAAAAAAACAAATGTTTACATTGGATCTTATTTGGGGGTATTAGAGTAATAAAGGGCTACTGTATATAAAAAAAACAGTTGTATCTGATTTTTATTCATAAATATCAGATTCATGCATTCATCACTTCATCACATCACTTTCCATTAACTTGTGTATCACTTTGTGTTAATTTGTCAAATTAAATACTAATAGATTGCTTTCAAATGGTTGCTGTAAAGGTAAAAAATGTCTATAAACAGAATTTGAGTTGGTCTACGGAATATTTAATGATTTCATGCTTGCCAGATTGAAGTAGGGCTTATGCTTCAGCTTATTAGAGAAAATGTCCTATTTATTTTTACATATAGTAAGCATAGGAGATAATGTTCTTCAGATAGGTAGATAAAAAAATACCCATCAAGACTGTATTTTAGTACTCAGTTTATTTAGTCTATATCAAGAAAAGCAAATGAGTTAAAATACAGGTATTTGCAGTAACCAGGAAATGATAAAAGATAAAACTATATGAGGAAAGATGAGAGCTGAGCACAGATGAATGTGGTCTGATAAAGAAGCACTACAGTAAGCTTCCAGCAAATAAATCAGTTGAATTAATAGCCAGCTGAAAGAAGTTGTTTGACTTTGGTGATGTCTCTGGGGTTGCATAATTGTCTGAATGCTGAATAGTTGTGTCTAGGAGAGGCCAATAAAGCTGCACTTTAGAAAATAAATAAAGAAAAAAAAAAAAAAAAAGGAAGCTCAAGAGAGAACCTTTGGCCTTAGGCTATAAATTCTGAAGGATTTAGATAAGTGGATTTCCAAACTGTGGGAAGTTCAGAAATCCACTTCAGGTTTCTTTTCTTTGGGAAATTCTTTACGTGTCCTTTGCTAATAGTGTAATACTTTACATGTAGCAAAAGTAAAAGCCTTAATAAAACAAAATATATTTTTTTAAATAATCCTGATTAATCAAATCTTACAAGCTTCTGAAAAATATTTGGACACATATTGCCAGTCAAGATGTGTGATACTTACAGATGTGCCAAAGAAGGCTGAATACTGAAATTCAATCAAAAGGTGCCACAGTAAAGAGGTGGCTTAAGCAGGTGAAAAATGATGTGACCAATTACCGTAACCTCTTTTTATTTGCCCTTGAAAATAACTGTATGCTATTGTGTAAATTAAACAAAAAATATCACATGAAAGTAAAAAGAAAAGGTTTAATGTGATTCATCCCGATTTTAATTTTTGATATCATTAATACTTTAAAATTTCTAAAGGGAGAACCATGATGGGCCATCCATGATGTTTGGCATAAACAGACCACTGCTAATAGTTCATCAAAGAATTAGAAACAACACTTTCCATACTGGCTTCATGCCAAAAATACAAACTCATTTTATTCATATAGGGAAACTTTGTGACCAAGTATCACAGCTGTTAGGCCTATTATATCACTATTCACAATCAGATCTGACCACAATGATCTTCCTATAAAATTGACCTCCTCAGTTGGGAAGAACAAACACCTCTAATTTTTACATTTTAAACAGTTCAGACCATGTAGATGTCCTAATACGACACAAAAAATTTGTAACAACAATTTGTAACAAACATTCAATGGTACTTCATTGTCAAAATGAAGAACCATTGAAATTTTAGCAGCATGTATAGAAAAATGAGCCTGATAATCTCTTAGTTTCTCCAAAGCTTTGCAATTGCTTTAACCACTGATGACAATGTTAATCTCAGTATAAGTTATATATTTAAGACAACATTTGTTCTTAGTTTTTTTAAATTCACTGAAAGTAATACTTACCTAAAGGTAGAAACGGTAGGCAAAGGTAGGCACGGGAAGGGGGGTGCTGTGGGGGCTGCAGCCTCCCTCGTCATAGCATCAGCCCCCCATGGTGGGGGGCTGTGGAGTAACATGATATTGTACTTAAAAACATGAATTTATTTATGTATTTATTTTTTAAAAGACTGTGTTTGATATGGGATTAAAATAATGGGCTGTGTATAAGATATAAACTAATGATTCATTATTTAGATATTTCATAAAAAAACTAGGCTACTCCCCGGGAAGCTTCCGCCACCTCACATTCATTTAGGCTTGGCTAGCAATAGGCAGCAGAAACGTATTTCTGACAATTTCGAGGTAAGAAATGGTTTTAATTCCCCTATACTGCCGCATTTAGCGTTATTTATGTGCCTATTCGTCTTAGTCCTGTGGCTGAAGAAGTCTACGCTAGAATAAGGCTGCATATCACTAAATATTATATAAATATTAAATTAGTTAATTTTTTTTTGTGTGTGTGTGTTTTTTGTTTCAGATATGAAATCATTCCCCCATATCCATAGTCGAATGGACTTTCAAGACGTTCAATGCTCAGTTTAGGCGATATTTAGGCCATGTTTTATTCAAGTATTCCTGATCCTGTTGATTGGGAGCTGTTGTTTGTTTTGAATGATTAAAAGAGAAGAAATAAAGTTTAAAATGTTCATGCTTTGTTCCGATGCATTTTAAATGGAAGTTTTTTGCGACAAATGTAGGCCTACAATATTATGTTAAAAACGTCAGCCACAGCCCTCAACATAATGACGTCATGTGTTTTCCAACCCAGCCATCAGCCCCCCTCGCTTGAAACTGCTTCCAGCGCGCCTGCCCCTCTAACAAAGTAAAGCAAAATAGCACACATTTTTTGTTCCCCACCCGATCCCCAAATACCAGCAATATATGACATGAGCATCGTTACACTCCTAATGTGTTGGTTTTTAAAAACAATAATCCATCTTAAGATTTAGATTTCTTTCACATAGGTCTTTTTGGTGAGCTGCTTCTGCCTCTGTGCTTCCTACTTAATACCTGCTATGAAACTACCTTTTTAGTCACAAAACATGTTTTTTGACGTGACTGTTTCAGGCAGGGATTGTCATCATGGTTTAAAGGCTTTAAAAACAACGAATAGTTTAATTCTCCTCTGTTTTATCTATTTTAAATACAGGAATATAATTAATTTGCTTTTTTTCTGGCTCAGCTACTCTTAGCAGGTGTCTAAATCGCTTCATCTCCTCTAAAGCCTCTGATATATGAAAACTTCATGACTCAGGACACCCATATAAGGACAGTACATGAAAACGTACTGCCCTTCAGTCTGAGAACTTAATTAAGGCCAAATGTAAGGATGAGGGGAAACACAAACCCTTTTCCTGTAATAATAACAGAAATTCTCTCATCAGTTACAGATTTTCTAAAGGATTTTATCTGCTTAAATAAAGGTCTCACAGTGCATTAACCACAAAAACAGGCCAGTGCTGCTTATGATAATAAAGGCAGGTTTTATTAGTTAAAGAATAAATGGTTGAATATTTCAGAGACCAAAAGACCACATTATCTGTCATACTTTAAGGCAAAGTGAAGATACATAACTATAGTATATCAAAAAAAATATACAATTGTGAGGACAAACAATTAGGAAGCAAAAAAGTTATTGTGATAAAAACTGTGGAGTTATAAATGCTGCTGGTTGACTGAAGGAAAGCAATTATACTTCTGTGCTCAGGGCAATCATTTAATGAGAAGGTCCTGAACTGGTACTGGCTGAGGGTGAGATGACAGCAAACAGTGACTGCAAGATGACTGTGCTGTGTTAAAAAGTTATTTCAATTTTTCTTTAAAACTTGTTGTTGTTTTGTTTTCCTTTTTTGTATTTGAATAAGACATGAAATGTCCACCACAGAAGTGAAGAAGTACTGTGCACATGGAAAAAAAAAATAATAATAATAATGATCAAGAAGATGGAGAAGAAAACCTAGAGAAAAGGACTAAGATTGTATTTACATCAGAAGTCCATTGGTCTACCTGTATTCAAATAATACTTTTTCTCATTAGACTATAACTCCCAGTGGTCAGAAATTTACAATGGCAAGACAGAACACAGACCCAAGGCCTATTCC